CAATGAAAAGTGTCGCCAGCTCCCGTACTATTGCAAAAAATACAGGAACCAAATCTGTGATAGGTACTTTTGGGGCTGAACCATGGCTGAACTACTCGGAAGTACTTTGTTGTTATTATATTCTTTATACGTACATAGGTATTATAAAGATTTAATTTTATTCAAATTAGTAACATAATATTTACAATGTATGGAAAAAAAAAACTGATTGAAGTTTGTTTTTTTTTTTAAATTCATGTAGAAAAGGCTTATGCCAACATAGTTACTAAATTTTAGACTTGGGGTATTATCAATAGTAATATAACTAGTGCAATGGAAATTATTGATAATTTTTGGGAAATTTGCTCGAATGCATTTTTAGTTGAAAAAGAGCACTCGTGCACGTAGTGCACGAGTGCCTTTTTCAGTTAAAAACGCATGAGTGCAAATTTGTCGAAAATTATAAATATATTTCCATTGCACGAGTTGTATTTAATGAGAGAATTTCATAAATCAAAAATTTAAATTTTTTGTCAAAAAATGTCAAAACACCAGTTTTCGCACCAGTTAGTATGCAATTATCTGATAATTTGCACTAGTGCAAATTATCGCGTAATTACAATCTGATTGGTTCAAATCATCAATCAAAACATGTCAATTTATTGTTGGAATACCAGTTTTGACAGATGTATGAAATTCTCTTTAAAAAAAAACAGACTTTAGTTATATTAATACTTAACACAATTTATTGATGATATTGACAACATAGTTTTCTGTGTAGCATTAATTAAATGAATACCTAAATTGAATGTTTTTTCCATAGAAGTTTCTCCAAGGATGTTTGTGATAATTTTCTGTTTATTATATGGTGCGTACGATTTGTCTGAACCGGTTAGCGTTAGTGCGGTGCAGTTATGTTTTGGAACGCAACCATCTGAACTACACCGGAAAATGTACGCTGCACGGTACGAATGGTGTAGAAAGTGCGACATTAATGACGAGTCAGGGTAAAAAGTGTCAGCAGTTCGGACTTATCGTACGCACCAATAGTTATGGAATTCTCCACATACTTAGCCCTTAGCGGCTGTATTAAGCCTCGTGTCCATTTGCAAGTAAATTTGCTTAGAGAACTCTCAGAAGTCACTTGCATTGCGTGTAAACAGCAACGTAGAGACATCTTGCTGCAAGTTTATAGTCCGACAAATACCATTTTAAAGTCACGTGATACTAGTGGCAAAAAACGTATGTCCATTGATTATGTCGTTGATATCACCTACAAAAAGCTACTGGTGGTTAATTACTATTGAATTTTAATATATGTTCCCACTAGCATTTTACAAACGCGTTTCTGAAGTAGTATTGACCAATCAGAGGGCCATTTTAATACTTGCAATTGTTGCGAGACTCACTTTTGTCGCATCTGCTGTCTGTTGTAATAAATTCTGAACTTAAACTGGGTACCCGTTTTCTATTTGCTTCTTTTCGAGTTGGAAAAAGGTTAATATAAGTCAAAATTATTAGCTGTGTTTGTTCGTTGTATTATTTTAGAAAATAACTTTGACAAACTAATTGATGACAGTGACGGATTCTATTTCAGGTAAGAATATTCTGAACAATAATTAGACAGCAATTTTTTTGTCAATTTTACTATCACCGCTGTTTGAGATGTATTCAACAAGGATAGAGAAAAATCACGTGACTTTAAAATGGTATTTGTTGGACATACTTGCCCGCCAAATACTTGCCGACTTGTTAGAGCTTGTAGTGTACACGGCCGATCGCAAATTAGTTTGCACGGTTTGATTTCGAGACCGTTCCGAAATATTTGCAGCAAGTTTTTGAAGGACGTGTTTTCAAGTGGAGGTTTTTATATACCTATTTACAAAAATGGAGAAACGTGTTTGGAATAGAGAAGAAACTACCATGTTGATAGAAAATTTTGAGCTGTATCCTGAATTATGGGATGTACAAGCCGCTCTAGAAAAATTAGCAGGACTATTCGAGACATCTGAAAATGAAATTCAGCGCAACTCAGATTTTCCTTCGCTTTTTGATATTTTCTTTTTTTTTTAATTTGATTTTTCAATTTGATATACAAGCTAGGTCTCCCACGACGTTTCTCACAGGTAATAACTTCGGAACGCCTCATCCAATATAATTGAAATGTTGAAGATATGGGTATCTTTTTGTGCCAATTCTACCATTGTCATTCAATTTCACCACTTTCGCTTCAATTTCGGTCAAGTGACGTCAACTTTCGAATCTTAAATGTAACTGATGGTATATTATGGCATTTTACGTTAGAAAATACAAAATCGGCAATGCTACATATTATGTTAAGGCTTTGTTAGAGAAAATAATCAAAAATTATACAGTGGAACATACGATGATGCGTTCCGAAGTTATCATTTGGGAAAAACCTCGTGGGACACCCGTATATCACAACTGCAGCAGCAGCAATTTGCCGGGATGACATTGTGTGTACACGTTTCAGTAAAGAACTAGGCAAACGGGCTTGCTATAGTAACTTGCCAGAAGAAAAATTGGAATGATTACAATACAATGTAGACACACCAGCAGACCAGCAAGTACTTGGTGAAAAAACTATCACAAGTTACTTGCAAGTGGAAATGAGCCTTTAGACTTCCACTTCCACGCTATTTAATTATCAGCAAATCAGCCACAGAATCTACAAGCAGAGTAGGTAGTCGATGATCGCCAAAAGCAATGACCTGTTTGAGTCGTCAAACTTGACACTGAACAATTAATTGGCTTCCATAGCAACCGAATAGGAAACATCTCTGAACTTACTTGTCGATTTAGAAATAATTATAGAAGGGACATTTTTCATGTTTTTGACTCGAATGTGAATGGATTAGATCATAATATACAAAATTAGAAAAAATATTGTGTGAAACACGTTGTGAAACACTATTTTTCGTAACTCGCTTCCTTTTGCGGAACTCGCTTCGATCGTTCCGCAGAAATCTGCTCGTTACGAAAAATAATGCTTTTCCTAACTGGTTGCACAACTTTTTTCTAACCGTTCGTTTTCAAGTGGCATTTTCAATAACGTCATCACTTGACATACCGCTACTAACCGTTTTGTAACCCGGTTAGTTTAAACCGGAGCCACGTGAAAAGAGCTAATGACACTGACAAGGACAGAGCAATCGTTCGTTGAGAACACTGTTCGGTTTCGAGAATAGACATCTAGGCGTGTCGGGTTAACTTCGTTTACCCTAAAATGCCATACATATCTATAGCCGCTTTCCAGCTGACGCTTTTGAGCACGCAATCGAGCTTTTGCGCGCGCAAAATTCTTCAAGCGCGTGTTCGTGTTTCAGCCGTACTGCGCTTCGAGAGCTGCTTACTTTTGCGTTTCAAACACAGAACACTCTGCTGCACCGTGCTTGAAGCACACAGCTGGAAAGCTGCTTATAACATATAGCTGAGTTCGATATTGGACTCCAAGGAGTGCGTTCAAAGACGGCAATGCTAATGCCAAAACCTACTATTCCCCTTCTACCGGCGATGCCAAATCTGGTGTGAATTTGCTGGAACGCCAAATACCGTTTCTCAATATGCAATCCAAACCACGTGACATTCAATATGGCGTGGCGACCATACATGGACCAAAAAACACAAAAAATATCTAGTTTCTGCCCGAATTAATAGTTAACGTACTTAAGTTAACAAATATTTTATTGAATAATCAAACTCGAAGCTGCAAACAAACAAAATAATTGAAATATGCATGAAAACCCATATTCAAAACTAACTTGCCTGGCCGCCACGCCATATTGAATTTGGTCTCATCCAATCAAAATTCGTATAACCGTTTCTAGACTCAGTTGAAAGAGCCTCCAAAAGTTACTTTACCGCGGCCGATTTGGAACGTGTAAAGCCAACCGTTTTTGGCACGCTGGAGCCGAACTTGAACGCAATATGCCAATTTTGGCTCGGCTTTAGCCGTTTTTGAACGCAGCCCTGGACTTTTTTAGGCCCGTATTCATAGTCGATGCTATGCTCAAGGTTGTGTCTTGGCCAATGAACTATAGCCAAAAACTGGAATGCGCACACATTGCCATATCTGCCAAAAAAATGTAGCCATGAAAGACAGATGCCATAATGGGGAATGTTGTTTCTTTCTGTTGCTCGCTGACATATGACGTTTTCGAAAGATTTGTCATATTTTCCTTCACAGGTTTCATCAATTGGAATACGTGTTGGAAGCAATTTCCGCCATTTAACATAATGAGTGCAACAGAAACAGGCTTCCCCTCCGCAGCAGCGGCACTAGGCTTCATGTTCGTCAATATGTGTACGCATTCCAGTTTTTGGTTATAGTTCATTGGTCTTGGCTCAAGTACGACTTGACGCCATATTTGCGTATTCCAAACAACACGGAACGATGTTCACAATTGTCAAAAATCGGAGCTTGAGCCAAGCACCCGTCTATGAATACCGGGCTTAAGACTCCATTTGGTTCTGGTATTGCAAACAGAGTAAGATTATTTGCGTTCGGATATTACGAATCCACTCTACTCTCCTGCAACGGCAAAGCCGCTTTCCAGTGACCAATTTTAAGGTGCTCCACACTCCACATGCACCCGTAGCTTCGCTTAGTTGCTCCGAACCACTGTTGTGTCACTGGAACGCACCCTACTTCAAGCGTCGTGTTTTTGATGCATTCATATAATTATGGTGCTTTAAAGGGCAGGGGAGAGGAAAAACGAACTTCAGTTGCGCGAAACTCTAATGCACTGGAACGCCTAAAAACAGCCCGGGGCGCACTAGAGCAGCTCAGGAGTGCTTAAAGTGCGTCACTGGAAAGCGACTCTGAGTACAATCCCCAACTCAGCATATTTAAATAAACAGTTCTTTACGTAGCTGTAACGATTTACTTGCGCATGCAAATCGTAAGTTACATCGTTGCGTGTAGACCGTGCTTAACGAAAACCTATTTTTCTCTGTCCAATGACACGATACTTGACACTGACAGTTTAACAATCAAAATGGCGGGGGGTGTCATTTATCGTTATGTGTTCCTTGTCCGATTAAATTAATCGGCGAGTTGCACCTCTTTACAAAATAACCAAAATTTTAAATTTAGTTTATTTATTGATTTGCCCGAATCATGAGTTGAATCAATTGTAGAAATAGCTATTGTTTATTTATATTCCCCTGTTTGATACATAAAAGTAGTTGAATCATGAAGCTAGACACTGAATACTTGGATCAGGAACATTTAAATGGATTCGATAATTATAAGGTATTTACCGGCAATTTATATTAATTTTGAATGTTTTCTACGATTATTCTACTGCTGTGTTTTAAAAGGTTTCCCAAATATGTCATTCCTACTCAATATTCATTTAAACCATTGAAAAATTTTAATTTTGCATCTGAACATTTTCAAACAAATTTGCACATTTCAAGTAAAACTAGGTGTTGTGTTTTCAAGTTAAATTTTATTAGTCCAATAAGGGCAAGGATCCTCCACACACTAGTTGAAAAACGTCAGAACTCCCAAATGATGGAGAAGCAGAGCAAAAGAGCAATAAAATCAAATTCTCGAGGAAATTTAAAAAAATATATTTTCTTGGAACATTTTATAATTATTGCTGTGTGCTTATTTGAAACATGCCATAATAATTATTTCTATTATTATTTCAGTACAATTGCAAGGATACCGGGCTCCTCAGTATCTATGTTATGCATCCGTTTTGGGATTGGGTAGTACAGGTAATTAGAATTTTAATTTAATAAACATTATTTTTTGCATTTGGAAAGAATAAACTAATTAAAAATGGTAAAAATGAATAAACTGTAATTCTAGAATCTCCATGTTAAAATCTAGAAAACTATAACTGGGTTCTAACAGAAATTTAATTTAATTTTATATTAACATAATTTAAGATTTAATATAATTTTACTTTGTGGCGTTCATACAGTAATTTTTTAACTGATATAGAAAAATGTCATTATCCGTCATCTGCCTTGTCAAACTGATGAAAATCAATGATCAACCTCAAATTTATTTCAATTTAATTTTGAAAGATGAAAGTTGGCCAACTTTTAAATTAAGTTATAGGTATTAGGTGTCTTAAATTAAAATTTTGTATGAACGCCGTCATATGGTATTGTATAGTAAATAGTGATGGGCAGATTCCCGGGAAAGTTCCCGGGAACATTCCCAGGAACGTTCCCTAAAATTGGGAATGTGAGGGAATGTTTGCAAAAACCAAAACAATAAACAAAATTGCCTGCATCTATTGGAAAAAAAACAAAATTTTGAAAATAGTTATTTATTATACAGGGGAAAAAAGTGCTCGCTGTGTTGTCTCCCTCCACTTCACGTTGGGAGACAAACCACACCTCGCGCTAAAATCTTACTTTTTTCCCATATATAATACACTATTTTTTTCTGTGACGCGAAAATCTCACCATTTTCCATCTATACATTATTCCCTTTGAGAAAAAAATTTGACTGGTACCTGTTACTTTTTTCCCTCGGGAAAAAAATTTGATTGGAACTTGCTACTTTTTTCCCGTGGGAAAAAATAAATAACTTTTTTCCCATGGGAGAAAAAGTGACATTTTTGCCCCTGTCAACAGGTACAAAATATCTACTTTTTTCCCGTCACAGAAAAAAAATATTTATACCTATGTCTTTGTACTCTTGACTCTTGAGATCAGTGAAAAAACTTAAACATTACTACTGTGTACTGCAATATTGAACATTGTAACTAGAATAGACGCACACACATATTAAGTAATAAAAAAATAAAAACTACATTTTATTTTTTACCTAGTTGTATGAAAAACTAAATATTTTACCCTGAAAAAAACTAAATATTGTACTAAACCCTGAAAATCTCGAAGTGCTAACAAAAAAAGACAACTTGTTAATTGTTGCGCTTTACGCTAGTTATTTAATATAGAAGGAAGGACCTAATTGTCCGAGTCTAACTCGTTACTACTATAGTCCGGTGAGTTGGAAGAGCTGGTTTCACCAAGGGTTTCGGGTTTGCCCACCTCATCGTTATCATTTAGTTTTTTTGATGTAGTAGGTTATCTATTATCTATACAGGGTGTCCCACGGTGGATGGCGTATTAGACGTTTATGGAGAACTAAAAAGCGGATCATATTGAAAATTTGGCAACCGGGATAAACGACCATGATCTACACTTTAAAAATATTTTTGTTTATGCGGTGTTGCCGCTTCTACTCTTAATCAGTGGCAACATCGCTATTTTAAATGGAACACCCTGTATGTGATTGCATATTTGGATTCTACGTAAAATTCTGAACAGATTGCATGTGATATACCCTATACCTAAGTTCAACTATTTCGGAAATATTGACAGTTGAAAATTGAGTTTTTGCAACTTTGACAGGTTGTAAAACCTAAACGGTTAATTTTAGAGGAACACCGATTTAACATTCCTATCTTAGATTTTCATAAACTATCATTTGACACCAACTCTGAATTTAACCGGAGATTAAATTTAATTGGAATTTTTAATCATGGATTAAATTCAAAGTTGGTGTCAAATTATAGTTTATAAAAATCTAAGATAGGAATGTAAAATCGGTTTTCCTCTAAAATTAACCGTTCAGGTTTTACAGCCTGTCAAAGTTGCAAAAAGTCAATTTTGAACTGTCATTATTTCCAAAACAGTTGAACTTAGGTATAGGGTATATAACATGAAATCTGCTCAGAATTTTACGTAGAATCGAAATATGAAATCACATACAGGGTGTTCCATTTAAAATAGCGATGTTGCCACTAGTTTAGAGTAGACCACCGTGGGACACCCTGTATATATAAAAATCAAAGTTCACGGGGTATCCGGATATGCGTTCTAAAACCACTTATCCGGTTACGATGAAACTTTGGTAGGTTATTATGGCCATCCCAAGGAAGGTTTGTGGATAGGTAACGCATATCGGGAAAAGAAATTAATTTTGAATTAATTATTAATTTAATTGTAAACAAACTTATTCACATTACATAACAACATAACCCAACTTTTTTTGACAGCATGAAATAACGTTGACATATTTCATTTATTTAGGCTTGCATTCAACCGACGTAACTTTATTATTTCTTGAATTCAAGAACGGCTGGACCGATCTTGAATTAATACCACGTATCTCTATATTAGGTAAATTCGATTGACCCAGATTAGATCGAATTGGGTTCAATTTAAGTGAACTTCTTCTGATCTAGATCATTTTTTTGTTGATGAGGGTGCACTGATCCAGCTTGAATCGAACACAGTGTGGTTCATTTAAGCTGAACCAGATCGATCTAATCCGGTCAATCGAATCGGCTATAGAGGAGAGTGATATAGGCTATTTTTTATCCCGAAAAAAAAAGTTCGGTTGCGTAAAACTCTGATACACTGGAACGCCTATAAACAGCCCGGGGCGCTCTAAAGCAGCTCTGGAGTGCTTAAAATGCGTCACTGAACTCACTGGCAAGCGACTGTAATATCGGATTAAAAAAAAAAAAATTAAATAGAAAATCAACAACAAAATTTGAAAAGAAGTGTATTATTTCAAAATGTATTTACACGCTGGCAACGCAGCGGGTCATTAGCTAGTAGACTATAAAATATCATTCAATTTTGTTTTTTCAAAAACATTCCCAGTTTTTGTTTACTTTCCCGACCTTAAAGGAAAGTTCCCGGAACGTTCCCTTTGGCACATCACTAATAGTAAACTTTTCAAATTAAATTATATTAAATGCTAAATTGAATTAAATGTCTGTTAGAACCCACCTTTTTAGTGGTACTATAACACCATCTTATTTATTGTACTGTAATTTCATGTTGCAGTATTGTCCGAAAAACATAGCTCCAAATCTACTGACGTTCAGTGGTTTCCTCTGCACAGTCGCCATGTATCTAATGTTTTGCATTATGGATTATGATTTTACCGCATCGGACATTGATCATCCGGAAGTGGCAAATTTACCTAGGTGGACGTGGTTTACTGCTGCTATATTATTGTTCCTTGCATACACATTAGGTAAGAATTGGTAAAAATATAAATTTTAAAATATAGACAATCTCTAGAAGAATGCTGAAAAAGCGATTTTTAAAAACGTCTTATTTTAAGCTTTATCGAGGCAAATATTAAAAATAATGAACTAATAGTCGACCTCAAAGCTGACCTATATTGATAATGAGCTTAATTCGGTCAAAATTAACAATATCAGGAACATGATAATCATTATAAAATGTCATGAGAATGTATATACAATGGATTAAGTTATTTGTTTTTGCATGGTTAAGAATTTTATATTAATTATTTGACTTGATCCTTTTTACATTCTCTCCTGGGGCACATTCCTCTTATATGTCCTACCATTCTATCAATTCAAAATAGTAATCTAAATGCAAATAGTGTAAAAAGATAAAATATAGAATCAATATGATTGACTGTTACTTGAAGTGGAATGCTCATGCTGAATATCTGACTAAAAAAATTAGATCTCTGACTTATAGGTTCTATATTCTTAGAAATAAACTGGTGGAAAATTTTCCATGTTGCTTTGCAACATGGAAAATTTTACCCAAATTCAAATCTCGATATTTGCAGAACGTTGCGGTATTCGGGAGGTTCTTGACCAACTCTTTGAGAACACGCACAAGGTTTGACCGGTATATTTCTTTCATTTTTCCACTTATACAGGGTGAGTAAAGGAAGTCATGTTTTTTTGGCAAAGTTTGGGGCTATGCCAGATTCTCAATTTTTGATTTTGGAAATTTTTATATGCATCTTTTTGATCTTTGGACTATCCCAAAAAAAGTTATTTCTCAAATTTTTCAAAAGTTGGCTATAACACAAATTATTCTATAATGTGTTACCAACCTCCATTAGAATGCTAAATTTGAATTGTTTCAAAAATAAAATTAAAAATTATTTAATTAAGAAAGCTTTTTTTAGTATAGAGGAATATACCACCAATAATTTTAATGATTTAGAGGATTGTTAGTTAGCAATATTGTTCGTAAAGGTTCCTGAAAATTTGCCACTACTATATATTTGACTTGTGTAAACTTTGTGAAGTAATGCACCAATAAATGATTTGATTTGATATTGAATTTTTAAAAAAGGGTTACATTTATCCCTAAAAAAGTGACTTTTTCGGGGTTTCGCGTGAGAATGGGTATTTTTTCTCATACTTTTGCATGAAGTGGAATTTCTTGGCCCCGAGAAAATATTGAAGCACTCATTGACCTTTATTGTCTACAGTGGCGTGCACAAAAAATTTGCTTTTGACATTATGTAATTAAAACCGACTTCATAAATTAAATTATACTATGCAATTAAACAGCTTAAGGAACAAATCCAAGTTACTACTCTTAATAGTCAAGATACAGGAGTGTATTCCAGTGGCGTAACACCAAGAGCATCTTTTGGTTTGGTGGGAAGAACTTGTTATTTAGCATTGGCGTACCCGCTTGGATAAAAGGGTCCTTCTTTGAATAATGTCTCGCAATAATGTCTTTCGGCTCGACCTCGAATTTTCTTGTCATGGGTAGCTTCTTAAAAAAAAAAAACGTGCAATTGACTGTTCTCCTGAAAAGTAATGGAGACCGACTTACACACAATAGTCAGTGTTGTAAGGAATAGCGTTATTGCTGCGCGATACACTTGTAGATACCTTCTAAACGTTTACCCAGTGGTTGCCCAGCACACGGCTAAACAGCATAAAATCTTAAAATATATAAATGGAATTTAGCTCTAGCAGTCGAGCCCAATCAACCTCCCAACGCCAAATCACATGGCATGGGGCATTAGATAAAGGGTATTCCAATAAGAGGTTTCGAATGTTGGTAACGAATAAAATAAAAGTTTCGTAACATACCTAAATGTTATTTATGGCAGTGCGTAGCTGGACAGTGTACAATTATACGTGTAATTAATATCTGCCAAATGACCACCACGACTGTGTTATTTGTTGAAGAAGTTTTCCACTACTGCTGAACACATTTGATTTGTGGAGTTATGTCACGAATTATACGCCTAATTTCTTCTTTCAATTGTTGAATGGTTTGCGGATTATTTTCGTGAGCTTTGCTCTTCACATAGTCCCACAAAAAATATTCTAGCGGCGTCAAGTCGGATGACCTTGGTGGCCAATTTACGTCCCTAATAAGCCTCCCTCTAAACTGTGTACGCAATAAAGTTACTGTTTCACGTGGTGTATGACATGTCGCATCATCTTGTTGGAACCGCATATTCTCTATATCCATGTTCATTATTTGATCCAATAAAAAACATCAATCATCGTTTGGTATCGTTCTCCATCTACTGTATCAGCTTGTTCGTCTTCATCTTCAAAAAAATACGGTCCAAGATACCCTCAGCCAAAAAAGCGCATTAAACTATGACACGTTGAGCATGCAGCGGGATTTCGTGGATTGGTCTAAGATTTTCATTGCCCCAGATGCGACAATTTTGCTTATTTACGTAACCGTTCAAGTGGAAATGAGCCTCGTCCCTGAAAATTATTTTATTGCAAAAATGATTGTCATTTGCCTTCACCTGTTGGCAAATGCACGGCTTTGCTCATGATTGGCTGGCTTTAGCTCCTGTGTTAGTTGAATTTTGTAAGGATGTAGCCTTGAATCTTTTTTCAAAATTCGCCATGTTTGTATCTTGCACGGATCCGGTAGTTTCGAATCTACGCACTATTTTGCGAATGGTCCCATTTTGAAAATACGTTTTAACAATGTAAACACGTTTTTCTACTGGTGTAGCGCTCCATTGCTGAAATTGTACTGAATTCCACAATGAAATAAAAACCGAATAACAAAGTTTGAGATAAGAAGAGTAGCAGAACAAAACATTCGAAACCTCTTATTGGAATACCCTATATACATATACTTGTCCAATAATTGTCTAAGATTTGTTAAATGTTTAGTTCAAATAAAATAAGAATAAGAATAATGCTTATATGTAGGTACATATGTAGCAACAAGTAAGTAACCATGAAAAAAAAAATAAAAATACGAGGTCGAGCCGTAAGACATTTATTGTGAGAAGTTATTCAACAAAAGACCCTTTTATCCAAGCTGGTACGCCAATGCTGAATGAAAAAGATAACAAATTCCAGATAAAAGATTAACAGCAGTATTTGCTAGCATCATATAGCATTTTGAAAAATACGAATTTTTAAGTTCTTCTCACCAAACCAAAAGATGCTCTTGATGTTACGCCACTGAAATACACTCCTGTATTAAGAGAAGTAACTTGGATTTGTTAATTAAGCTGTTTCATTGCATAGAATAATTTAATTTATAAATTCGGTTTTAATTACATACTGTCAAATGCAAATTTTTTCTGCACGCCACTGTAGGCAATACGTTCAATGAGTGCTTTAATCTTTTCTCGAGGCCAAGAAATTCCACTTCATGCAAAAGTATGAGAAAAAATACCCATTCTCAAGCGAAACCCCGAAAAAATCACTTTTTTCGGGGTAAATGTAACCCTTTTTTAAAAATTCGATAATTTGCGTTATAGTCAACTTTCGAAAAATTTGAGAAATCACTTTTTTTAGGATAGTCCAAAGATCAAAAAGATGCATATAAAAATTTCCAAGATCAAAAATTGAGAATCTGGCATAGCCCCAAACTTTGCTAAAAAAACATGCCTTCCTTTACTCACCCTGTATAGGTGGATAAATGAAAGAAATATACCGGTCAAACCTTGTGCGTGTTCTCAAAGAGTTGGTCAAGAACCTCCCGAATACCGCAATTCGATATCTCTTTCCGTTCCGCAAATATCGAGATTTGAATTTGGGTAGAATTTTCCATGTTGCAAGCAACTGTCCAGCAGTTTATTTTGTCATCAAACATGTTGGTCACACTGTATCGGAGTCTGGTGGAATCTTTGTTAGCATATGGTATCACGATCTGGGGTTTGATGTATGAAAATGCGCTGAGGCCGCTACAAATTGTTCAAAATAAAATTTTAAAAATAATTTATAAAAAAGATCATCTGTATCCCACAAATATGCTATATACTGAGGAACTAGTAAATTTGAGAACTCTTTTCTTCCACTCAGTTAGTTGTTACATTCATAAACACCGCAAGATGCAGCCTATTGTGTTACATAATCAAAACACCCGCTTTCGCATAAATCAGCTTTTGAGGATTCCGGAATGTAAAAGCGAATTTTATAGACGCTCAATTGGTTTCATGGGTCCAAAGGTTTACAACCTATTACCCAATGAGGTGAAGAATGTTGTAAAACCCAAACTGTTTTCAAAAAGATCGAAGGCATTCGTTTGGACAAATCGGATTTTGTTTGAAAAACTGCTTTGATTTGATGACAATAACGTACATACTTAAATTCTCAGCATTCGAAAAATTTGTATTCCTATGGAAATAACATATATATATGAAGTAAGTTAGAAGCACATACAGATGCTCTGCATCTAGGTGCTGTTGTATATAAAACCATTTACCATTTAGATACCTAATATAATAAGTAGTATATTTGTATCGTAAATTTATACCTTAATAATAAAGCAATAAATTCAATTATCAAATTTTGTTCCATAATAATAATAATAATAATAATAATAAAAATAGATTTTTATTTAGCAAAAACAGCTAATCTACAAAGGTTACAGAACATTGCACTGCACAATATACATACACTTTAGAAATTGAAATATTTACATTACTAGTATGAAACTATAACTAAAAAAAAAAACAAATTCTACTTGTTTACCCACTTGAAAACTAATTGTGGGTATAAATAAAATTTAAATTAACTTTTGTCATAGAACACACAAATATGTAACTACATCAAATGGGAAGATTAAACCAATATAAAAATATTGTGACCATAGCTGTTTTATTTTTCGGTAATATGCAAATTATACCTATTGTAACCGTGTATTATGATGGTGATTGTTGCTTTTATATACAAGTTTGGAGGGCAAATAGGACAGAGCTAAATAATTTTTCATTTCATGTATGCAAATCATAGTTTGATATTGATACCTATT